AGAGTTTTGTTTTCTCAGCACTTACCAGGGACTCCTCTCCATAGAGGCATCTCCAAACACATGAATCTGCACCTGAGCTGCCCTTGAGAATCAGGCGGGATAATTTTTAAAGTCTCAATGCCCAGCTGTACCCCAGACCAACCAGAAGCTAGAGCTGGGACACAGGATTCAGTTACTGTTTTGAACACTTCTTGAATGACACTGAAGTTCAGCTCCAATGCTCACAAGCACCTCAGGGAATCTCCATGTCTGAAATTTAGTGATTCCTAATTAGCCTCTCCTGCCCAAGGACAGTTTCCCTATGTAAAACCTCATTATTTTCATAGTTACTAAATATAAGTACCTGTAAATTACAAATCAAGTAATGCTGGAGTGTACTAATAAGAGTTGTATAGTTGGCATAAGTGTTATTTTCCTGTTGCTGAATGAAACAAATTTCCTACAACTTCATGACTTAAAACAATACAAACTTATTACCTTGAAATTCACATATTTTCAAAGATTTGAGGGGGTCAGGTGGAAACCTGTTGAGGGACCATTGCTTTCCTTGTAACAGTGTATGTAGTAAATTAACATGTCAAGGGATCATGACCAGGGCATTACTGAATACAATTTGTGTTAAGTTGGGTGTATTTTTCCAGTCTTTTAGGCCTAAATCTCACTTGGCAAAGCAAACTTAAAGTTAGGTGTACGGAAGCATCTTACCAGTGTCACACATGATTTATTGAATGTCTAATTACCATATGTCTCATTCAGTTTCAAAATATTTATGTAAATGGAATGACCCCAGATATGCTTCTCCCAAAACTTAAATAAACAAACAAACAAATAAATAGTAAAGCTACTAACTTGAAGACACATAGTTTTGGCATCTTTGCCAACTTCACTTGTTGAATTGACATTACTATGTCTATAGCAATTAAATGTTTGCTTATGCTCAATCAATGATAAAAGCAATGGCTGGGAGGAGGGCGTGTAGTTTTGGAGAAGGGAGGGAAGGAATGGTAGGGGAAAAACAAAGGCGGAGGCAACAAAGCTTGATAAGAAATGTACTCATTACGTTGCTAATGTAATTGTAACCCCTCTGTACAGTATTTTCACAATAAAAAACTTATTTAAAAAAAAGCAATGACTTTCACTGATGGCAAGCAACCAGATTTTAAAAAAAGCAATGACTTTCACTGATGGCAAGCAACCAGGATTGTTCTAAAGCTTTGATGTTCTTTATGTACTACATAAAATGAGTATTTGTTGGTCCCTTGAATTCGCAATTAGAACTGTCTTTCTCTCTCTTTCACTCTTTCTCCTTCTCCTCTTTCCCTCTCTGTCATCTTTTTGGTATTATCCCAGAGTCCCAAGATCTCTACTTTGTTTAAAGTACAAAGAATACTCTGAGCACAAAATAGTATTTAAAAGATGGCCCAGTACAATATTATTAAACATTTAACACCAATACATAGCACTGTGTTCTTTGCACTTTCCCCTAATTTTTCCCTTAGGGTCACCAAATGGCTGTTGTAGCTCCCAATATCACGTGTAGTATAAGATTACATACAATATCAAATGAAAAGAAGAATTTTCACCTTTGAATCTTTGTGTTATCATCAGGAAGGTCATCCACAGGAAGTCTCAGCAGCTTCTCTTCTGTTCCCCAACCTCACAATTGATTCACATGCCCAAACTCAATATGCGAAGGGTACATGAACTGTGTAATGTAACGTGGCAGCCTTCTGGGACTGTCATTCTCCTCTCCCCATCTCCCACAGAGCTAGGATTACAGAAGTAGGCCACCATACCAGGCCACAAGAACTATCACCTAATGCCTCTCCAATAATAGGCAAGTTCTATCTATAAGGAAGAAATTCAGCTTCAGGGAAGGTAAACAAATGCCCATAGTTTTACACCATCCCATAAAAGTACCACACTCCACTGATGGCTTTTTATACAGTTCTAGTCTTTTGGTACGATATTTGAATAATTCTAAAATAATAGCCATAAATTTCTCCTTTGTATATTAGAGAGAAACTGTACATAGTTAGGAGTAAAGGCTGTGGAGTAAGGTGTATAAATTTTCTATTAAATATGACCAAACTATTTCTCAATATAACTGTGATGATTTGCACCCTTTCCAGTAGTATAAAAAGCTTCCTGTTTTTACATATCATCTCTTAGAGTTGAAATCCAAATTTTATTTATGAAATGTGAAGGATGAAAAATATTTCCTTAGTTTTTTTGAAGCACTTCTTTGTAACATTAGTGCTTACCTTTGGTTAATTGCCTATTCTTTTAAATTTTTCAGTTTTTAGTATCTATATGATTAATATATAATGTATATATACTATATATTGTACATCGTATACATGTATATATATGGGTATATAAATTTGAGTACCTAAAATTATATATAGTATATAATGTATGATCATCAACAGTGAGATCCAGAATTGAGAAATTACTCTTACCAAATTTGCAAATTAAAAAAATACTTAGCATGCCTTTTCCAAGGGGAAGTAAATGAAATATTCAAGAAGACAAAGAATAATGTTCTGTGAAATCAAGAAGAAAAGATAAAACCTTTAAGAGTGAAGATTATAATACCTTCCAGGATAGATTGGCATTTCTTTTTTTCTGCTACCATGCAATTAGGAAAGCAACAGGTGGACCTTGGTTGTGTCTACAAAGGGGAACAAGAACTGGAGAGATGGAGAGAGGACTATGTGGAGAGAGCACGCAGCCTGCATTTCCATCCTTTTGTCTGATAAGAATGACTGACTTTGAAAGAGATGATGTGTGCTTTACAGACAGTAGCCAGGCTCCAGTCTCCTTGCTAACACCGAGTCAACCAGCACTAGCAATGGGCAACAATCCTCACCCTGACAAGGGAAAACACTAAGGATGGGATGTGGATGAGAGTAGACAGGAAGAACCAAGAGTTGGAATCACTGCATGGGGTTAAAGGGTGAGGAAACATAAGATTGCCATGGGGTGTTCACATGCACACACTATTAAAGAGCCAGTCTTTCAACTCTTAACTTCAGGGAACAGCAACTCCATGTGTATAGCATTCATAATCTCCCCCAAAAGAGTACCAGGATTAGGAATTGAAATGCTTGGCCTGAAGTTGCAGAGATTAGTCCTGTGAAGGAGAGGAGTGTCAGGCCATCTCTCCATCTTCACAGCAACTATGGATGGCTGCTTTGGAAAGGGAATCATTCTTGAGCAAGCTGTCATGGCTGGTAGCACACCTGAGGACTAGAGTAGAGTAGCTGCAACTGAAAAGTCCAACAGACAGAGGTTAAGATGCATGTAGCCACTCTAAGTTGACTCAGAATGAGACCATCGAGGTAGGAGGCAACACAGTTAGAGTAGCCTGAAGTAAGGCAGATGCTAGTGCTGTCATTCCTTTGTTCTCTAACCAAAATAGAAATATCTCATCTCTCTCCCTTCTTATGTCTGGCTATATCAACCAATTCATCCTTTTATTGCAGACTATTGTTTGGTCATGTCTTGCTTTATTTCTGGTCTCTTGCATTTTACTAAGAATGTAAAGCAGAGGCCTTCTAATTTTAGTTCTGTTTGCTGGTGTCATCTTCAGAGCTATTGCTTTCCTTTGCCTCTTGAGGTCAGTGGTTTGCGGGGGTTGTGTTTGAGAATTCTAAGCTTTGTGTTAGATTGCTTATTTTTCCCTCTTTGAATGATGATGTATCCATCTAGACTTCAAGTTTCTCATGCAGAGGGTCAATGACTCCTACTTTGTCTCCTTCAATAACTACTAATTATTAGAATGTATCTCTCATTTCTGAAACCACTAATTAAATATTTGGCTTCTATCTGGGATGGTTGTCCTGAGTCAATGGGAAAGTGCATTCCTTCTCCATTCTGCCCGTGCAGCTATGCAATAATGCCTACATATTTGGAAGCAAGGTAATTTACTGGTGATAAGAAGTTTTCTTTCAGCTGATTTGTGAGAAGTGATTAAAAGAACCTAACCATGGAAGGAGGGGGGAAACAGAGATATTAATGGTACAGGAGCAGTTTCCAAAAATATAATAAGCATATGTTCAAGGAATTGGAATTGGCAGAATAACAATAGCTAAGGATATTTCATCGCGATAGGAAGGAGTCCAAGGAAGAGAGTGCAATGACTTCTTTGCAGTTTGATTTCTTGGATTTGGGGCATTAAGTGGTCTGCATGAGATAGAGGCACTTACAGGTCCAAGAAGCCAGGAATTTTGTATGTAGAATGTCAGAGGAAAGACTTTTTGTGATCTTTTCTATTTAACCTCACATTCTGGTTGTTGTATCCACTCCCAGGAAGCTGGAAAGACAGTCCTTCTAATGCTGACACTAGTAGAACACTAGGCAGGATGGAAACATTTCCCAGGACATCAATAAACCAAAAAGGTATTATTGTGGCTCAAAGTTTGGGTTAAACATATCATTTAAAGATGATGGTGGATTAATATAAGGGCATTTCAAGCTGATAAAGATAATGAACAGGGGGCTGGGAAGGTGGCTCAGTGGTAGAGTGCTTGCCTTGCATGCATGAGGCCCTGGGTTCGATTCCTCAGCACCACATAAGCAAAAAGAAAAAAGCCAGAAGTGACGCTGTGGCTCAAGTGGTAGAGTGCTATCCTTGAGCTGAAGAGCTGAGGGACAGCGCCTAGGCCCAGAGTTCAGACCCCACGACTGGACCCCCTCCCCCCAAAAAAAGAAAATGAACAGCATAGTTTTGTAATAGGTATACCTGTACACAAATAATCAAATCATCTTAGGAGCAGGAATGCTCATTCAAATAATATTTCGTGCATACAGATGTGATAACAAGCCAGCAAACAAAGCATAAGGAAATCCTCTAGATAGGAAAATGGCAAAATCAAAACTAAGCTGGGGAAAATTTGCATCCAAAATGAAGTGTTTTCTTATACCAGACAGTGGCAGGAACAGAAATCTGTTTCCTATCTGGAATTTGGTGCAGGAAGATAGGTAAGAATAGAAGCATGGTAATCATCCAAGTCACTATCATCTTCATCTTCCTCTATCTGCTTGAGTCCTTGACAATAATTGCCCAGAGCAGCTTTGTTATTGTAGTGACGGGCAGAGAGTGGATGCAGGCCAAAAGATTGTCACCTTTGGAAATGATTTTCACCAGTCTGAGCATCTGTCGTTTCTGTCTACAATTGCTATCAATGATTTACAATTTTTGTTCCTTTGTGAACCCTAATGGAATATTCTGGAGCATAGCACTCTGCTGGGAACTCGTCAATAATGCTACAATCTGGTTAAGCAGCTTGCTTGCTGTCTTCTACTGTGTCAAAGTGTCTTCCTTCACGCATCCCATCTTTTTCTGGCTGAGGTGGAGAGTTTTGAGATTGGTTCCTCAGTTGATACTGGGTACTTTGGTGATTTCTTTTGTAGCAACCATCCCTTCAGCTATTAGGGGTTTCACCTGGCTGGAAATAACTACCATGGCACATTTACACAAAAACATAAGCTTGATGGAGAAAATGAAGATGGTCAACTCAGTTTATCGCACATCTCAGAAGATGATTGTGTTGTGTATTCCCTTCTTCCTGTTCCTGGCCTCCACCATCTTACTTACAACCTCACTGACCCAGCACTGGAAGCAGATCCAACAGCCTCTCAGTGGCCGCTGCAGCTCCAGCAGGAAAGCTCGGTCTTCTGCCCTGAGGTCTCTTGCCATCTTCCTCATTTTCTTCACCTCTTACATTCTGAGTATACTTGTCTCTTAAGTAGGAGTCCTACTTGATAAGAGATCTTGGTTCTGGGCCTGGGAAGCTGTCATCTATGCCAATGTTACTATTAATTCCACTTTGATGATGCTGAATAACCCTACAATGAAAAAGGTTCTAAAGATAAAGTGCTGGAGCCCAGAGGCTGCCTGAGTCATGGGGTATAGCAAGATTCTGGGCAAGTGGACATTTTCACTGGTAAAATGAATACCAGTAACCAGCGTTGTTTGTTATTGGTCATCTTCATGATCAGATATACTATGAATATAAGCTTCATTCTCTTTCATCCTTATAGCCATCTATTTCTAAGTCATTCTTTCTACACCCTGTTCTATTCCATTCCTTTCCTTTCCACAATCCACAGGTCAGTCTTGATTTTTTTCTTGACTGTTGCCCATTTCCTTAGACTTTACCGCCTCTGAAATCTTAAATTTATACCTGATAGTCAAAATCATGGCATCTTCCTTCTCATTATTTCATCTCCTCAGAGTTGTTCATTGTTTCAAACATTAATATGAATCCTTTCCCTCACAGGAATGTTTTGCCTGTGCCCTGAAAACTTCCCGCACTAAACTTTTCATTCTCATTTTTAAAAGGCAAAGTTCTTACTCTTACTTTCTCTCTCCGTCTCTCCCACCTCCCTATCCCTTCCTCTGCTTCTGGAACTTTATTCAACAATATAAATTTTTTTTCTAAATGGTGTGCCTTCATTCCGTTAAAATTCAAGCCAATATTTAACTCTTGTATTTCATTTGTCAAAATGTTATATTCTTCTCCATAACAGCAGGTCACTTACTCTGTCTAAGCTCATTCTTTTTACTTCTCTAAATAGTGATGTGAGTCAATAACAGATGGTTTTCATTGGCTCAATTCTTACTTCACTATTGTACTGTAAGTTGGAGGGTATGTTCTTGAAAGATTCTTATACTGATACATAACTAGTGCCTTACCAAACATGACTCAGATAGTTAGGAGCCCCTTTACTTTATGCTTTGTAATAGTACTCCAGCATAGATACATATATTAGAAACCACATTGTAATCACCTGTAACATAGCCTAAAATATTACTGTTCTTAGGAGTCCTTTTCACCTTCCCAAGCCAACAGGTTTCAGTCATACCCTTTTCCTTTGCAGAATCCAGTCTTACCTTCTCCCCATGGCATCTCTTTCTTTTCACACCCATCTAGTAGCAACCAAACGTTCTGGTATTGCCCACCTCCAAGGCCTTTGAGTCTTGCCTTCTATCCATTCCAGATACTTTCACAGTGTTTTTTCTAAAGACAGTTGTTTCTCAGACAACATTTCTGATAACTTCCAGCTCTCCCATTAGAAGACTGAAATGCCTCCAACACACCAGCCATCTCATGGAAGAGGCTGGAGGGTGGCTCAAGCTTGGCTGGAAAAGAGAGTTTTCGTTCATGCGAAAGAGTGAATATTCTGATTTGGTGCTGGGTCTATCACTCTTATTTGTCTCCTGTCAAATTCCCACTTGAAACTGAAGGTGTGAATATAAACAAAAACTGAAGGAATGCATCCATGAAAGTTGCTATTTGGCAAAAAAAAAAAAAACAAAAAAAACAAAAAAAAACAATCCACTGCACAGAAAGTATCAGCACATACTACCCTACCTGTACCAGTTCTGCACACGGCCTGGGCATCTCCTGACCTACAGTAGTTCAACTGCAGCTAATAGTAGAGGCAGAAAGTGATAGGTGCAGCAGTGTCTGGAGAACTGAACCCAAACCACCAGAAAGGGGTCTGAGCCAATAAAACATACAACAGCAATGTATTATCTGCCCATGGACTCCCTGGAAGGCTCTGGAGCTACTGAGGAGATGGGTTGCTTGAGTTTAGAATCTTCCTTGTGTAGGTTGAATATGAGCCATTAAATTTGGATGCTTTCTCACTATCAATTGTATCCACCTCTAGAAGGGGCCTCGCATGTTCTAAAATCTCAGAGATCTGGAAGAAATTGGGACTGTTCTCCTCACCTGTGTATACATAGCAAACAGGAAAAGAATGAACCTAGGCCCCACACTAGTCCACACAATGGTACTATTCTAGAAGATATTGGGTCATTTATTTTAGTGTTCCACTGCCTTCTGTTGAATCAAATGCAATGGAAAACTTATCCACGATATTTCTGAGGTCAGGATGTTAGAAAGAGTTCAAGGAATATAGAAATCAGAGAGCAAAATAAGCTTGCATGACCCAACCTAGATGAGGAACATCTAAGAAGGCCTGACAATTTATCTAAATTTACAATTAGTGTCAAGCTGAAATCCAGTGAAAAGGAAAGGAGACCAAGGGAAAATTTTTAAAAGAGCAAACACTTTTAATCTGAAAAGGAGAGAACTTTACAAAAGCAGGGTAGGGATGGGAGTGGGGAATACTTCTGAAACAATCAGAGAGAGATTGTGGCCAAGCACAATGGAAATCTTTAGAGCTTTAGTTGGATATGAAATTAAGGCACTACTGGGTTAATCTGTTTATTGTTGTCCAAATTATAAATGCCACACCCTACATGAGGCTGGTTACCGACAGCATGGCCTGTGTTTTCTTATGAGTTCACAGCTAAGAAGGTCCTAATTCAGAAGGCTCAGAAGGTTCTAATTCTGGGTTTTAAGAATGAATGTTTAGAAGACCACAGTGGTAGTGGTGAATTTAAGAGAAGCTTCGTGGTTGCCACAGCCAGGTGCCTGCAAACAGATCCTATAAACAGTCATCACTAGTGTCTAGAAAGTAGGCCCTTTGTGCAACGTCCCATACAATCCTGTATACCTATGACTCTGATGAGCCTGACAATAACAGTGAATTAATTCCTGATGGTGCCTGGCAGGGAATGTGTTTCTACTAATTAGTTATTCCACAGATTTAGTCCACTGGATGCTCTCTTTTCTTGATGAGCACTGCTGCTACGGAGGATACATGGGCTCAAAAACTTTATTTGACACCTTTTTGCCTTGTTCTCAGCCTGGTATTCATGATTTCCAAGACCTGTCTATGAACCACTTTAGCTCCTAATAATCTCTAGCATAAACCTAAGTATTGCACTAGTTACACCTCCTCATTATTTCCTGAATATTGATACACACATTTGCATAGACTACATTCATGCTTAGAATAAATGTTCCTCACATTTGCTGATGTCAGCTCCCTTTCTATTTCTTTAAGGCTGTGGTTTAAGCATCTCACTCCCCTTGTGATCTGGCACATTCTCCATCACATACACAAATACTAAACATAACCCGGACTTCTGCTACTCCAAGCTGCCTTGGACATCTATGGCATCTGCTGCCTCGACCACTTACGTGACACCAAATGCAAATTTGGCCCAGTATCAGACCTCCTTCTCTTACCTCTGTCTTTAGTATGACTGGTAGAGTTTTTGAAATAAAAAATATCGCCTGGTGCCCATGACTCAGCTCTCAGGTGGTTGAGAACACAGTTTGAAGGCAGCCAAGTTTGAAGCCAAACAAGAATGTCCTTGAGACTCTTATCTCCAATTAACCACCAGAAAACTGGAAATGGAGATGTGGCTTAAAGTGGTAGAGGCCTAGTCTGAAGCCACAAAAAGCTCAGGGACAGCATGTAGGTCCTGAGTTCAAGCCCCATGACTGACAAAAATTACAATTCAACTTCAATACAAGTCCAATTTAAAAATATATCTGAATTTGTTTTGTGCCACTGATGCATACTAAAGGAGAGAAATCTGTAACTCTTTTTGTTGTTTTTATAAAACCTAGAGGAGCATGTACTTACCAGTGTGACAGAACATATTCTTATAACTATATATAAAAGCTAAAACGCTTCCTATAGTGGGGAAGAGATGGTGCATCCTTGCACTCTTTGGTTATGAGTTTCTTTACCATACATTCCCTGCCACTTTTTCATTGCTTTCCCTCTGAACCAGTTTCAACAGGTTTCATTGTTCTATTGGCCTATATGCATATAAAGTCTTCCACCATTTCACCTTCCTCACCCTCTTCTCTCCCTTTGACAACTGCCGCCGACAGAGCTGTTTTGCTTTTCTGTCATTCTTTTTTCTTTTGAGTATATTAATTATACCAAGGGTTTTCACCATGATAGTTTGTAAATAAATTTTAATCAAAATAATCTTCTCTATTGCTCTCTCTCTTTCCCCATCTCTGCTATTCCTTATTGCTCAACCACCTTTACAGTGATTACTTGGGCCATCTCTATACCCCGAAACAGCGTTTAGATACTGTTTATTCCCCACCACCCTCTCTCTTTCTCTCTCTAGACTGAGAAGACCTGTATAGATATACATACATACAGTAGATATGGGAAGTCTTGTTTGGTTTTTCTTCACAGAGTTTTTAGTGGACTTCTTGGGACTCATTGTTATCAGTGCTTTAGGTCTCAGACTCCCAAAGTAACTTTTCTTTGAGGCAGTTTCTCCAACAATTTCTTATATCTTAAGAAATCTAAGAAAATTAACCCTAAAAGTAAATTCAATTCTTTCTAGTTTTAATAGCAAAGATATGGACAGTTGGTTAAACTTAGCTTCAATACCAAAGAATTTTGAACTTATTTGGCTAAATAATATTTGCCAAATAATGGCATACTGCATTGAGTTAGAGATAATAAATTCCTTATCATAAATTGTTTTTCTTTAAATTTTAATTCAAATATTGGATTTTTTTAAAGTAAATAAATTTCTATTTTAAAACTCTGCTCAATGTAACTGAAATATGGCCAAAGTACAGTCAAAATGACAGAAAATAATCACTTGCATTTGCAGGGGGAGTGAATCTTCAAATGTAAGCTTTAAAATTAGAGGAAAGATAAATTTCACAAGTTTTTATTCTTAAGGCCTAAAGATAGACTGTGTAGGTAGCTTTTTCTCAAGAATGTTGAGAGATCAGTATAGTCAGAGCTTGAAGGCTTGAATGATGCTCACTCCAAGAACCTAGAAAGAAAATTATTTTCTGAAGTGTATGTCGAGAAACCAACTTCTCTACTTCTTTCTGCCCTAAATTAAACAATCTAAGAATTGACCAGAAAATGAGTGGCTTAAATGTCTCCAGTTGAAATCCAGGGTTTAGCTTGTGTCCACATTGTAATATGTCACACAGAAAGAGAGGTAAAATAGATTTAAAAAAACTTACACAAGCAAAAAGTAAACATT